GTGCGTGCGTGCGTGCGTGCGTGCGTGCGTGCGTGCGTGCGTGCGTGAGTGAGTGAGTGAGTGAGTGAGTGAGTGAGTGGGTGAGTGAGTGAGTGAGTGAGTGAGAGTGAGAGTGAGAGTGAGAGCGAGTGTGAGTGAGACTGCAGGTGGGTGAGTGTGTGGGTGGGTGAGTGTGCGTGTGAGTGTGAGTGCGAGTGTGAGTGAGAGCGAGTGCGAGTCTGCGAGTGGGAGTGAGTGGGCGTGAGTGTGAGGAGTGTGTGAGTGGGGGTGGGAGAGTGAGGGAGTGTGTGAGGGAGTGCGAGTTGTGAGTGCGAGACTGAGTGGGTGCGAGCGTGAGTGAGAAAGAGTGTGAGTGAGAGTGAGTGAGTGAGAGTGAGAGTGAGAGCGAGTGTGAGTGAGACTGCAGGTGGGTGAGTGTGTGGGTGAGTGAGTGTGCGTGTGAGTGCGAGTGTGAGTGAGAGCGAGTGCGAGTCTGCGAGTGGAAGTGAGTGGGCGTGAGTGTGAGGAATGTGTGAGTGGGGGTGGGAGCGTGAGTGAGTGTGGAGTGTGAGTGCGAGTGGGAGAGTGAGTGCGAGTGCAAGTGTGAGTGAGAGTGGGAGTGTGCGGGAGTGTGAGTGAGAGAGTGAGCATCTGAGCCACTGCGCGTTGAGGTTCACCAAGTGCTGTGCCTGCCACGAAATCTGCACTTTGAGGTTCACCATGCGCTGTGCCTGCCACGAAATCTGCACTTCAAGGTTCACAAAGTACTGCGCGTGCCACGAAATCTGCAATTCGAAGTTCACCAAGCGCTGTGCCTGCCACGAAATCTGCACTTCGAGGTTCACCATGCGCTGTGCCTGCCACGAAATCTGCACTTCGAGGTTCACAAACTGCTGCGCCTGCCACGAAATCTGCACTTTGAGGTTCACCAAGTGCTGCGCCTGCCACGAAATCTGCACTTCGAGGTTCACAAAGTGCTGTACCTGCCACGAAATCTGCACTTCGAGGTTCAAAAAGTGCTGCACCTGCCTCGAAATCTGCACTTACAGGTTCACCAAATGCTGCGCCTGCCACGAAATCTGCACTTCGAGGTTCACAAAGCGCTGTACCTGCCACGAAATCTGCACTTCGAGGTTTACAAAGTGCTGTACCTGTCACGAAATCTGCACTTCAAGGTCCACCAAGTGCTGCACCTGCTTCGAAATCTGCACTTTGAGGTTCACCAAGTGCTGCGCCTGCCACGAAATCTGCACTTCGAGGTTCACAAAGTGCTGTACCTGTCACGAAATCTGCACTTCAAGGTCCACCAA